CTAATGTACCTTGAATGTCGAGAAGGTTGCTGAATAAACGAAAGAAAACAGAATGACTGAATCATCGATTTTTTCTGCTTTGTCCTTTGTTTTTACTTTTTTCTCTTCTTTAGTTACCGTGCAACGATTCTCGATCCTCACGTAATTGCACAACCGAAGGTGAAAAATAATACATTACTATTGAATACGTCATTCTAATGAACGGAATCAATAGAAGAAAGATGTCACTGTGTGATACAAAGGCTTCAGTACTAGGGCTGTCATATTTACGTTACTTTTTAAACGTAGTTACGTTTATGAAGTGGCTTATGGTGAAGTTGGCTTATTTATCTCGCTGTTTCACATTCGTGATTTCATTCAACTTCAATCGTTGACTCTTTTCGAAACTGTCGACCGTGACATGAGTACAGTTTTGCATGACGTCACTCGCTGCTCGCTCCTCTCTGTATCAATCGACTGGCGAGGTTGTAATCAGCCAAGTGAGAGGACACTGGCGCTTCTGCTCTGAGCTACCACGCAACACAGTCTTCGCACGTTTTGGCAAAAAAAAACAGTTTTTTGTTAGTGTTCACTCTTCAAGGATAGCTCCAAAGCGGAGACTTCATCGGAAAAAGCTATCTAGTCTTTTTCAACTGAGCCGAATGATATATGATTTGAAATTTTCCGGTGACTTTCATTTTTTGGTGAAAATCTCAGTCAATTTTGAAAAACACAAAATTTTCACCAAAAAATGAAAATCACCGAAAACTTTCAAATCATATATCATTTGGCTCAGTTCTTGACGCTGACTCTGAATATGATACTTTTATTGCATAAAAAGCGAGTTCTAGTGGAGAAAATTGAGAACTACGGGCAGAATTCTGATATTTTCACTCCTGATTTAGCAAAAGTGAAATTTCTCCATGAAAATTCGGAATCAGCATCGTCGATAACCTATAACCCAGTAGATTTCGATCAAAAAGTGATTTATAACCTCGAGAGGCTCCCTCGTTAGATAAGGGTTTTTCAAAAATCATTGGCTTGAGATAAAATCCACTTTTCTCAGCTCAAAAGTACTTTCAGTAAAAATAAATGATATATTTAGAATCAGTACATCGGACTGCATCGAATGATACGTCAGTTATATCTTTTTATGCGCCAAAAATCGTTCGATTTAATGAAATGAGTGACTTGCAGCATTCCAGTGGCAGTGGGATTTTTGATTTAGACGCAGTTTGAAAGCCTACGAAAACTATTTTTAGACTATTTTCATAGGTTTTCGTAAGTGATATTTCCAATGGCATAATTTATGAAGTTCGAAAGCACTTTCAATCGGATTTTCCGAAGTTCGTATCTCTGGAAAACCCTGATAAAACATCTTTGAACTTGGAAATCACATCATTGGAAAGAGCGCTTACGAAAGCCTATACAAATAGTGTTTAGAGGCTTTCGTATTACTTTTATGGCACCTGTCCCCGTGCCTAGTCAAAATTGCTCACGGTGATTCAGTATGTATCCGACAGTATACTCTGATCAAAAGGTTAGACTTTGAAGACTCAGATTCTGTCAACCATGAAGCATTCACATTGGTTCAAAATGAATTAATGAGAATTCAAAAGAGGAGAAGTTATGGAATTTAAAGAGACAGAAAGAGGCAGATCATACGAGATGATTGGATTGTATAGCACATTCTTCAACGTGTACAAAATGCTTGACCCTTTACCTACAAGGGACCACCCATGATCCATTCGTAGAATTGTTATAAAAGGATAATGAAGCATGTGATAAAAAGTGGATTGCTGTTGAGAGCAAGATAATTCCATAAGCCATCGATTTTTAGTCAGCTATTCGACTTTGGTATTTCATTATCTTTTTATAACAATTCTACGAATGGGTCGTGGATAAGGTAGGTAAAGAGATAAAGAATTCGTGGTTTCATCTATTTTACATCTTTACTGGAATTGATGCAATAACCAAAAAGGAAAAAATGTGTTTTTGTTGTTAAATAAACATAGATTTGTTACATGGGATGGGCTCCTAACGAGTGAACACCCTTTTTATACGGTTTTGTATACGCTCTATATAGAGGGATGATTTTCAACCTTTCAAAGAATGTTCGTACTGGTTCTTCAAAGATAGAATCTCTGCAAAATCTGTACCAACGTACTTTGAAAATTTGAAAACTATACCGTTGAAAAGAGCGTCTACGAAAACCTATAAAAGGAATGTGTAGAGAGTTTGGCACCACTTTTCTTGCACATGCCCACGTGCCTAGTTAAATTTGCCCGTTGTGCGGGCGGGAAGGGATTTTTTTGACATTCCTTTCTCTCACACAGTATAGAATATCCCGCCCATTCCGTCGAAAAATTTTCTTTTGTGTTTCTATCACTTTCGTAACAAAAGCTAAATACACCTGTACAAAAATAGAATACAAAACAAATAATAGCTCTAAGGAGATTAATTTTATTGCATCACACGTACGTCCAGATGAAGAAGAAGTGAACACTGAAGAAAATGGAGACAGTGGTTCTTTTCTTTCTTTTTGTATATATATTTTTACCATTCTATACATACACTGTTCTTTTATCAGCTTCATAACTTATCCTTTGTCTATCACATACGTATAAAGTAAGAGAGTGCAGAAAAGGATTACTCAATAGTTATGAAACAAGAAAGTATAAAGACAAAATTTGATAGAAGGCAGAAAAAGAAAAACAATGATTACTGATGATGACATACAAAAGATTGTTTTCTTCCATTATCCAAATGAAAAAATTTTAAATATTCTATTTCCATCCAAATTAGGCTGTGATAATTTAATATATCTTATCAAATTTGAAACTGGTAAGATAATTGTTTTACGTCAACCATTGAAAATAAATTCCTCAATTGCCTCATCAACATTGTCATTTCAATTAAATTCAAACGGTTCAATGCCATATTATCCCATGCATCGGGTTGAACATCAAGCATGGATACTTGATTTATTAAATAGTCATAAACGCATCAAGCATTTTGTGCCAGAATTATTAATATTAAATCCGTCGAAGAATTATTTGATAGAAAGTTATATACCAGGTATAGTCAAAAGATTTGTACGGAAATTCTCCGCCCGTACACACACTAAACGGCAAATTAACGCATATATCATCAAAACAGAATAACGAGTGGTCCAGATCAAATAGCTGGCCCTGGCAAGGCTTTTCTTTCAGGTTAAGTTTGATCAGAATGATAAAAGATAGAGAATTCTGCATAGATTTTACTCATACCCTTGGAAATGAATATTTGTTGTTTATCTACAGCATTAGAAATGCTGAAAGCCATAAAAACCAGAATTGCTCAGTACTTTGTGTAGAAGCAAGTGTAATTTTTAGTATTCAAACTAGTTTTGTTGCACGATTCAAATAACACATTAAAAACTAGAATAAAGTCTTAATATCTTAAGTATAAAACCAAATTTTGGGACGATGACTAACGATCATGGAAAGCGGTTATAAAATATGCTTCTTTATCAAGGTATTGGCGTCTTTCATTGTATAAGTAAATATCGCAACTTCGTCATATTATTATCGGACACAGTAAAGCCACGGGAAGAATGCCATTTGCTAACCTTTTGAAATTTTGCATGTGCTCACATTAAAAAAATAATTTTTGTTGGTCAATTTTTGTAAAATACCGCCAAAAATCTCATTGGCCGAAGATGCTTTTTAACGTTTTGAGTATTAGAAAGTAGCAAAAAATAAGTGTATAGAAGCACACATATCATCAGATGCACTGAGAAATTCTGCATCTTTTATCATTAAAACCAAACTTTTACTCTTATGTAACTGAACAAAAAGTTGTTTTCACAACTTTCTACTTCTTCAGTTGAGGAACTATGATTTTTATGGCTTTCAGCATTTCTAATGCTGTAGAAAAATGGTAAATATTTATTTCAAAAGGAATATATGACTAAAATCTACGCAAAACTTCCTATATTTTAGCGTCTGAATAAAATTTTCTGAGCAAGCTTAATCTGAAAAAAGCCTTGCCAAGACCGACAATTTAATCTAGACTACCTTTTATATACATTTAAGGGCCCCCTTTCGGAAATGGTGATTTTCGGTTTTTGAGATACGCACATGGAAAGATAGCCTGAAGTGTCTACTTGCAGAATCTGTATCGATTTTGGTCACAAAAATGGTTTTTCGAGGATTTTGAGCAAGTTTTCTAGATGCTTCGAAAAATCGGATCTTCAACTATTAGTTTTTTCCTGGATACTGATGCAATTAAAATTTTTCTAAATACACAGATTTGTAGAGCAAACGATTCTGGTCAAAATAACATCTCGCACAACTCTGTATGACCTTGCATCAAAAACGTTATAGGCATTTTCCTACAAGTTCTAAAATTGAGTATATCATTCAGCGTTTAATACAGCGTTTTCTTTATATAAGAGTTACACCTGAAGTATTTTCCAAGATTTTTGTAGCGGTTTGTCGTAGAGAGTTCATTCTTTTTTTGCTTAAAAGAGGAAAAAAAACTACAGGGCCTGACCGGCCCCGATTTTTGAATTAGATCTTACGAGGTGATTAAAAGCTTTTTGATCGACATCTAGTGGGTTATAGGTTATCGACGATGCTGATTCCCAATATGATCATGGGACCGGCCCATAGCTCTTCGAAGATCCAGTCTTCTGGAAAACCAGTTTTTCAGAAATCCCAGGAAATAACTCAAGCCTTTCTTAATAATGCAGGATTGTAGCGCGCAAATTTCTGATTGAAATGATGCATCTCCCAGCTCTACACGACCTTTCTTTCCAAAGTTATAGAATTTATAAGAAGAGCCTTAAATTGTTCATTGTCAGCTCAAAGCTACAGAAATAAGAAGGAAAGAATTAATAGGGCTCTTCTTATAAATTCTATAAGCTTGCAAAGAAAGATCGTGTAGAGCTGGCGGATGTATCATTTCAATAAGAAATTTGCGTGCTACAATCCTGCATTATTAAGAAAGGCTTGGGTTATTTTCTGGGATTTCTGAAAAACTGGTTTTCCAGAAGACTGGATCTTCGANTGGGCCAGTCCCATAATCATATTCGGAATCAGCATGGTTGATAACCTATAACCCACTAGATGTCGATCAAAAAGCTTTTAATCACCTCGAAAGGTTCCCTCGTAAGTACCTAAACAACACCTAAAGCGAACACCACGCATGTATGTGATAAAACTCAGCCGCAACAAAGCCAACAGCAGCGTCACAACCAGCACTATCGATTAGCTATAACGACGTGTTTTTCAAGCAAGAACTGAATTAACAGCCGAGGATCTGCCTTGAAGGAATATCTTGTGTTTGCTTCTTAGCCGACAACGGAATTTTATCGAAAAACAAATGCCTCGTTTCAGAAGAAATAATCTTGAGCAAAACTTATGTTTATTTCTCATTGAAAACAAAATGTTTTAAAAATCCATGAAAAACAAGTCAGTCACTTAGTTTTTCATGTTGATTACGAATATTTTGATATTTGATAATATTTCAACTTATGCAGTCGACGGTTATTAGTCTAAAAAATGATTACGCTAGGTGCTGTCTGCCATTGAGTATATTAAATGGGGCCCACTTCTTGTTTCTGAATAATTCCATTCACAGTTATACCTATGCACAATTGTCAACTCAACAGCACAACGTTACTCTCATTGTTGACGGTACTTCGTTGTTGAAGTACACAGTAATGTGAAAAAATTTCACTTTTTCAAAATTTTGAAATATTCAAAAACTCAAATTTTATTCTAATTGAAATTGTGATAACGCCGTCAAGGAATGAACGCATTAACTATTGGATGTAAATTAATCGATATTTTTAGGTATCGATCTCGATGTTAATCATGAATTAATATCATTTGAAATCTGTAAAGAATTAGGTGAATATTTATGTGCACTACATTCAATTGAAATGCAACAATTTGGTTATATGGGTGAGCATAAAGGTACTGGTGTTTATTTATCATGGTATCAAATGTTTGAATTGGATTTTAATAATCTTGTTTTAAAACAACCAGCTTTTCTTGATAACGAACAGTATGAACAAATAAAACAAATTTATTTATCAATAAAAACATATTTAATAGAATTTAACCGATCTGTACTTATTCATGGTGATATAGCTGGAGATAATGTACGAATATCATCATCATTAAACGGCCATTTGAATGGTATTATTGATTATGGGGATTGTTTATGTGGTGATGGTTTATATGATTTAGGAAGATTATTAGTGTTTGTTAGAGGTGAATGGAAATATATTGATGATATTGCACACGGTTATAAACGGCAAGAAACAAAAAAATGGACAAAAAATGAAAAAAAATGTATTCAGTTTTATGCATGTTATTTTGCTTTGTGGATGGAAGTTGATAATGTAATCATGGAAAGATTGTTAAAACCAATTCAAGAATGAATTTCAAAAGTAAAGCGAATAATTTTTCGAAAATTATTTATGCAGTTTTGTTCTGAATGTCATGCTACTGAAGAGCCATGTAGAAAGGAGGGGCCAATTAATTTCTTTAGAGTGATTTAAGGGTTCAAATTTCCATTGGGTTTCTAAATAACTAATAACAGTTGAGCTATCCGTTCTTCATTAGCGCAAAATCGACTTTTTATACGGGGAACAGAATCGGTCCAAATTTTTTTTCTGAAGAGCTTATTATGTGAATCGACGGGCAGCAAAGTGTCTCTTGATTCAAATCA